ATACAAGCCACTGATAATAAGCAATTTTTAAAATTGTACAGAGACATTTTGTCAATGGTTTTCCCTATGTAAAATTTTGTTAATTTTGGAAAAGATATATTAAATTATTACTCTGAATACTCAATATTTATCTTTAGTATTTTAAAAAATTCTAGGAAGATAATAAATTTTCATCCAAGAATTGAACATCTTTAAGAATCACTGATAATGAAAAGATCATTACAGTGGTCTAATGGATTTTAATGACTGTATGGTGAATGTTTTTGAATATTCCCTGAAATATAAAAGTAATTTCTGTGTTATCATTTGGAGGCACCTATATGAAAATTCTATTCATCAGCTTTAAAAACTGGAGGATATTATAAAATTGAGGGATACTGTTTGAATGAAAAAAAAATTGCAATTTAACAGTGCTTGTCCATAACTATGCATTTTAATATTCAAATCTTAAATGCTAAACAAACAATAATATAAAAAACAATATATATTTATGTATATTTTAGGAGAACTGCAGCAAGGGGAAAATTCAATGATATAAAGAAAACATGGCTATAAACTTTATATTTAAAGTGGAGATTTAAAGAACATGTTAAAGCTCAGATTTAAATAATACTATAGCTATAAATTTTCCATATTATTAATTTTTCACTAGAGAATTACCCTTTTGATTGGGGACTTCAAGATTTTCTATAGGTATAGTTTAAAATAGGTATAATTTTTGTGTAGGTAATTTATGTATATATATATATTATAGGTATATTAATTGATAAAGTATTAATTTTCATATTTTGATCTTTATATTTTATATTTTAAAATTTAGTCTGCATGTCTCCAGTGAACTTCTCATTGAAGCATGATTGTTAAGGTATTATGGCTTCTGACAAAGAAATCTGCTAATTAATTAAATTGGTTTTATTACTACCTTTTGTATTTTATATAAATAGACTCCAAACCAACTGAAATATACACTGATTTTGGTTTCAACATATCATATTAAGTTTTGTTTTTAAATGAACTGCAAAATAAGATTCTTTTAAAAGTATTTTAGTTGAAAACATGATAAATTATCGCTGATTTATAAGTAAAAAATCTAAAATATGCACACTAAAGTTAAAAGAATTTTCCTACCTGTATATATATGAATATAACTATGGCTCAGTATTAAAATATAACAATTAAATTTGAGTTGAATTTATCTGGTGATATGTAAAACAAACTTCTTAAAATGAATGCTATGCAAATGAGCTTGTCCAAAGTACACCAGGGTACTATTGAACATTCAAGAAGAAACCAAAATTTTCATCTCTACATTTGTTAAGCTATAGAACCCCCCCCAAAAAAACAAAACCAAATTAATTAATCCATTATAGAGTTACTTTGACAACAGTTGAGTTACAATTATCATAACATGATACCAGTATCATAACATACCAATATCAAATATTGGTTCATAACTTCAACTTTTAGAAATACATGTGAATTTTAACAGGTAGATACTTGTTTTATAGAAACATATAATATTCATTCATGTTTACTGATTGAGATAGCTAATTTCAAAAAAGTAATTGGAAGATATCCAATCAATGTATTTTTGTACTACTTTTCCTATGAAATAAGTTTCCTACTATTTAGTAAAAATGTATAACACACTTTGCATTATGCAATATACCACCACATTTTTACAAGACAATATCAATGCCAAATTATTTCATATTTGCATTACATCAGTTTTCTATAAAATATTTATATTCTGATCTACAAAAGTATTTCATAGAAAATAATTGAAATGACTCAAGCTTAATTAACCTTAAATGTAGTTCTTAAAAAGAATGTATACAAAAAATTTTTACTGGATACAGATACTCATACAGTTCCATGAAGTATATTTGGCTTGTGTCTTTTAGCCATGTGGTCTGCTAAAAACAGAAAAAAAAATGCTTAATTGTTTCAAAAATACTGCACCACTCTTCTTTCCTCCATGCTAACATTTCTGAAGCATGAAACATGAAAGTATGAATTAGAAAGTCTTAGAAATATTAATACATATAACAAACCCTGGATGAAAATTGCATATGTGGTAACTCTCATAATCCATGTACTTTTGTATGACATGTGTAGGTTATATAAACTCATAGAAATATACATGGGTATTGAAGTTATAAAAAGGCACTACATTGATTTAAAATTAATGATAAACTGTACCCTATCAAATCAAATATTAATGAATATAAGGTTTATTTATATATTGATGTTAGATTGTTTTTAGGCACATGACTAATATCTGCAAACCAAGGGGTTTGGGAACGTTAACCATAAGTTAAAAAGTTACTTCAATAACAGTTTAGTTACCACTGTCATAACATTTTATTCTCTTTGAATGTCAATTAATTAAATGTGCCTGGTTTGGAGGGGTTGAATCTATTCACTTTTTTTTTCTTGTCCTTTGGTGTAAAATTTATTCTTTAAAATTTTGCCATGCCTGCAAATATCTTAGTTTGGAGTCATCTGAAAAATGCAACGAGTATATTTCCATCAGAATTGAAAGCATACTTGTGTCTGGTTTATTTTCATTAATTTGGAGTCATGTGACTTTGGGAACAATCCACTGAGCCCTTGAAATTAAATAGCCAGTCTTTGGCATTTCAAACAAGGAGTGAACTATTCTCACTCTTTCTCTTGCCCTACTGAAAAATAATGAAAGAAAAGAGAAGGAAAGAGGGAGGGAAGAGACGTACAGAAAGAGAATCAGGGCAGAGATGTACAGAAAGAATCAGAAATAATAGAGTGGGGAAAGGAAATTATACATATTAATTTAAATAATTTTACAACAATACATCCTAGTAACTAGCATAGCACATATATAAATTGAGAATCTGCAGTCTTAGATTAGGTAACTTTTCTCACATTTTACATAGATGCTCTATATAGTTTAATTTCCCTACAGGGGTGAAGGGAACAATGGTAAGAAACTGACTTCCATATGCAGCTCAGTTGCCAAAATTTTCCACTTACATGTGTGAAGATCATAATCTTACCTAAACAAAGCATGTGCTCCAATTATGATATTTTTGCTGAAGTTGTATAACTCATAACTTAAATCAACAATGTAAATCATTTTTATATAGGTATACAAATTATCTTCATCTACATTAAATATATTTAATTTATCTGAGATAATTTAAATAGCCACACAATAATCATACAGAGATAAAATGATGCTTCATAATATCTACCTGGAACTATGTTTACATATGATTATGCAACATATTAAATAGAGAAAGCACAAAGAGTAAGTATAGTTCATATTTGAATTTTAATTGATGCCTGAAATACTACATATAATTACCCAAATTTATATGGAGAGATTTTGTTGGGTTCCTTAATCTAGTAATGTACCAGTGATATAACCAGTCTATTTACTTAGCGCAAAATAATTAATTTTTCATTTTGTACGATTTCATGATTCATTTAATACAGTTTCGTGACTCTGACAGGAAATTTTTTTTCATCCACCATGAATTTATGTTTATCCCCCTTATACATTTGGGAAAATATAAAAATTGAAAGTAACCTCTGTTATTCAGTTAGTAAATCATGTAATGTTATATTTCAACTTTAAAACATGTTGGGTACCTTAGGAAGAATAAAGAGGAACAAAACACCTAAAGAGAATATTTGGAAAGATGATATGGAATTGTACTGATTTTAAAAATAAAAGTTTGTAAATCATTGAAAAATACATTAATGAACTTTCTTTGGAAATTACTTATATTTTCCATAAATACATCTTTAGCTTTGTGTAAATCTTACCTTATCATTTTATATATCAATTAAGAAGTAAAATCTAGTTACATTTGCACTGATATTTTAGAATTTATAAAACACGTTCATATTTATATATAATAATGTTGAGGAAATGACACATTTTTTAAAGGAAAAAATAATTCCCAATGTGAAGAAAAATTAGTAACAATCCCAGATATGTACTCAAATGTTAATATTTATTTCTTCTTTTCTAATCTCATATCTTATATAGAGGAGGTAGATGAAGAATAAGAGATACATTTTTTTTCAAGATAATATCATGGCATTATTAAGCTTATTATTTTCCCCTTAAAAAAATTGGAAGGAAAAATGTTGCAAAGAATATGGATAGTTTACTGTACTTGGTCAAAGTAGCATTACATTTTTTTTTTTTAATTCTTCAAGGAAACTTACCACCTGTTCCATCTGAATTCAAGTAGTTACTGTCAATTTACTCATGGGTGAATGCTGCCTCTTTGTGGCAGAATGCCATGGCAATTGTTCCTTAAAGGTGAAGTTCATGAACAGCCCTTGATATTGCACATATTCCAGGTGAGGTTATGGGGAGATCCACTCAAAGAAATGATACACAGGGCTTTTAAAGTTTCAGATTAAGTCAAACATTTCTTGTCATTAAACTAATGAAAATCATCAGCAAACCTTACTCAGAGGTGAACAGCTTATACCCAACAACATCTTGAACATTCAGGGCATTAATCAACTTTAGATAGAGTATCGATCATAACTGTTGAAGACAGTTTACATAAATTAATATATGGAAATTATAGAAAATTGTAAATTGAATAAATAATACTGATATGATGACATACATGATATTGAGAGAAAAATAAAAATGTAGTATACTACTTACCATGTTCCATGTATTAGTTGAATACTCAGTGAGGAAACAGCATATACAATTGAAACGTCATTAATAAACATATTAAGTGACACATTCAGAAGAACATACTTCCCTGAACCAACAAGGTCATATATATATATACACATATATATATACACACGTATATATACACATATATGTATATACATACATATATATTTGAAACATAATTATGGGAATTTCTGTTATGAATGAAGTTTAGCAACTATTTCTTAAATTGTTAATATTGGAGATTCCACCAATCACACATAGCTAGGTCTTTTGCACCTCAAGTAAGCATTACTTCAATCCCTCATATTTGACATAGTTATCAAGTGTTTATTCAGAAACTATTTAAAAAATTACATGTGCTGGGATACATATGAGATTTAACAACAATAGCCCCATCTTACAGAGATCCTGTTCTTCATTATCATCATTGCTTGCTGCCCAGAGGGATAAAGACATTGTATAGATACTTGTACAGTCCATCATTTGGTCTTCTGAGGTGCCAGTACATGTGGATCTGTACAAATGCAACTGGGTTTGGTTAAACAATCGAAAATCGGCTACAATAGTAGTCAAATCAATACATCGTTTTGGTTCACTAATAAAAATACTTTTAAATCTTCTCTAATGAAACCAAAAACTTGCACAAAATTCTCTTGAACGGCCCAATTAATTGCCCTATTTTTTTCTTTTATACAATGGGATATAATCAGCTTTAAAAAATTACAGGTCCAATTGGGTGGCTGCATTGGCTTTTAAAGATTTTTGCCATTAAGTGCTCCACATTTTGAATGATTTAAAATGCCTTCCTGATATCACTTCAGTCTTGGTAATGCAGTTCCTGATACAATGCGATACCTCTGTGAAAATCATAGGCTAAACAGTGAAGGAAAGAGGAATGCTAAATGTGCATATAAAAATAGGTGCTACAATAAAATATTTGTATATTTCATCAATAAGTTATTTTGACTAATCAATTATGGATCATATAGCTCTGTAATTTTAATGATTTGTCCACATCTATAGTGATCCTTTTCTAGATCACAATATTTTGTTTTTCAATTCAAATGTCCAGAATGCATACAAACACATCCTTTAAAAACAAAGGAAAGGAATAAGAAGGGTGGTGGAAAGGGAGGGAGAAGAATAGAGAGAACAAACTTTCTATTAAAGTTGGGGTGTGCTAGTCTCTCCACCAAAGCCATTTAGACCCACCCATGGCTTAAAGGGGGAGAAAGGGAGGAGTGAGGGAGCAAAAGAGGAATAGTAGGATCTATGGGCTGTCATCTTCCACCATTCTTAACTAAAAAACGACTGCAACCTTTAACATAAGTCACCCTCGCAGCAAACTGCCCTCCATAAAGCCCTTCTCCTCTCCTCCACCCCACACACAAGAAGAGAAAGTGATGTGCCCAGTTTACACAAACGTTTCCCACGTGTAAAATGTAAAGGAAATTGCACACCCTTTCTGAATCTTCCGCCGAAGCTGAGAATCCCGTGCCAAGGCACTTCACCCTAAACGTTGAAACAACACAATTAATCAAATGTGTTCACCTTGTGTGTCTACTTGCTTGTTTGTTTTAAACGCAAAAGCTCCAAGGGAGTTTCTTTGCTTTTAGAACTGGCTAAATGTGGTCTGTTTTTCCAGCACTTCGAGGTAGTCCGGTTCAACGTTTAGTTTTGCTTTTAACTCCAGATATTCGTTCCGGTTGGGTTCTACAAAGACAGCACTCGGGGGGCTGTAGAGCACCGGTTCTCGCAGCCTGCTGTCCCCTGCCCCCGGGTGCAAATACTGATGGGGGCGTCTCAGGTCATAGTTGGGGGAGAAAGTGTAAGCAGCGGGGCTGCATGGGAACTTGGGGTATTCCGGGAGGCTGTTGCCGGCGGGGGTGGTGGAGCAGTGTTTTTCTGGTTCTAAAATGCCCCTGTAAAAGCGGTCGGCGTCCTGCACCGGCGACAGTAGGTCCTCCCGGGGCTCAATGGTGCTGACGCTGTAGGCGGGGCTCCGCAAGTGGTGACTTTCCCGCCTCTCCTCCTCCCCGGGCTGCAGCTGCAGCTGCGGCGGGGGCTGCTGCTGGGGCTGCTGCGGCGGCGGCGGCTGTTGCTGCTGCAGGTGGTGGTTGCTGCTGTAGGTGACCTTGAGCTCGTGCAGGTCTTTGTAATCCTCCACGGAGTTGCCTTCTCGAGAACGGTAAATTGGGTTTTTACACATGTGGCCCAATGGATGGGGGATGTATTCATACACGTGGCCCGCGGGCGTCTTCACCTTGGGCAGAGCCGGCCCACGATGGTGCACGTGGGCGTGTGGGTGGCCGCCTGGGCCGCCACCGCCGCCACCATAGACACTGTACTGCATGTTGAAGGAGCTCACGTCGGAGTTGTTGGTGCTGGTATGGTCGCTCTGGTTCTTCTTCCTGCGCTTCATGACCAGCACAAAGAGCCCCGCGGCCACGAAGACGGACATTATGAAAACCAGCAGAAGACTGAGGATCAACACCGATAAGGGCACGGAAGATGCACCTCCGCCGGCACCCAAGCCCGCAGGGGCCCCAGTGCTGTTCAACCGGACCGCAGGGGTCACGGCGCTGGTCCTCACTGGTACTTGGATAGAGGATGGTGTGGGTGTGGAAACCACCACATCCGAATAGTCTGGGCACAGCAGCTCTGACTTAATGGAGCGCATGTCTGTCTCTGCGAATTTCTTGGGAGCCTTACAGATCACTTCGTCTACTAGAACGCCCACTTTTAGCTGCTCAACCCACAGCTTCATGCCCACCACCTCGCAGGTACAATCCCAAGGGTTGTCATGCAAGTCGATTTGGATGAGTGACTTCAGCTGGTCCAAAACTCCACTTACCGGCAAGGATGTGAAGTGGTTACTCCTCAGGTTGAGCCTGAGAAGGGTCAGGCCAGAGAAGACGCCTGAGGGCATGGCCTGCAGAAGGTTGTTGTTCAGGAATAGCAGCTGGAGGTTTGGGACTGGATCGAAAGTCCCAGATTGAATCTCCCGTATGAGATTGTATTGGAGGAAGAGATACTGAAGACTCTGCAGGCCATAAAATAATTCTGGGCTCAGTCTCTCTATCCTGTTGCCATTCAGGTAGAGGCGTCTCAGGTTGCTGAGATCCCTAAAGGCGCTGTCTTGGATCATTGAGATACGGTTGTTACCCAGGTGCAGGAGGTCCAGTCCGGTGGCCTCCAGGAAGTCTGTCCTGCTCACAGCAGCGATGTAGTTCTCCGTCAGATACATTTTCTTCGGGTTGTAGGGCTTGGGCTGCAGCTCAGCAATACTCTCGATCTTGCGCTCTTGGCAGTTTACATTTAGGCCCAGATCTGAGATCTGAAGGTTGCAAGTGCACGCAGTGGGACACTCCAAAGGCACCGGGGATTTGGTCTGGTAGGCGATGCTGGGGCCATAGTTACTGTAGCCCAAGTCCTTAGAGGGCTGCCTAGAGGTGGGGCGCACTCTGGGCTTGTTGGGTTGGCGGGTTCCCTTAGGGGGCTTCAAGGGAGGTTTGTAAACAGCAGAGGAAGAAGTGGCCACGGAATTTACCGAGGCCGGAGTGGTGTGTAAATACCCCGTGGTGCTCAAAGGCGTCTGTGGCCTCATCTCATAGTCCGAAATAAGTTTCCTTGGGCAAAGTTCCTGCTTGGATACCTCGTCCAAATCCCTGCCATGTAAGCGGAAGGGGGTCTCACAAACCACATCCCCCACCAGGGCTGAGTAGGAGATGCTGTCCAACCAATCCTTGAGAGAGATCAGCTCACAGGAGCAATTCCAGGGGTTTTCCTCCAGCTGTAACTCCACAACTTTATCCATGTGCTGCAACAACCCCACATAGGGCAAAAGTTTCAGCCGGTTTCCCCGCAGGTCCAAGTGCGTTAAGGGCACAAAACGGAAAAGATTATTAGGTAAACTTGACAAGAGATTGTCATTGAGGATAAGCACCTGCAATAAATGCAGTTTCCCAAAAGCATTGGGTTCAATGACGCTGATGTAATTGTAATCGACTTGTAGGTATTCCAGGTTCTCCAAGCCAAGAAAGGTATCATCTCTAAGAAGTTCCAGTTTATTATTGTTCAGATGCAATCTCCTCAAACCACGAAGCCCATGGAAAGCCCCAGTCTCAATATCTTGGATAACATTGCTACCCAGATGCAAAATTGAAGCCCCAGTGTAATTGACAAATTCATTGGGGTAGAGACGATTCAAAAGGTTTCCAGACAACAAGAGGTGATAGATTGGGAAACGGGGAGGGCTAATTTCAGAAAGACTGATGATTCCCCGGTTTTCACAGCTCACAGTTAAAATGCCGTCCTTTTCCTCACAAGGACATGCATTGTCACAGATTTCTCCATAATAATCGATGGTTTCTGCACACGAAAGGACGAGAGATGTTACAGCAAATGCTAGAGTCTGCAGCATCCAGCTATGCATTTTTCTGTGGAGGTCCTGTTCCAAAGTTACTGGGGGGCAGCAAGTGTGCATTTTACCTCCTGCAAGGGAGAGAGGAAACAAGGAAACAACAGAATATGACAAAAAATTAAGAGATTAATCAGAAAGTCTCTCTTCCCTGATACTATTTCTGGGAAATACAAGAGGGGATAGGAATGTCAACTCCCACCCCCACCCTATTGGAACAATGAAATTCAGCAGACTATATTAAAAAATGATATTCAATTTGATTTAAAGGTTCATTTCATTTTTCTAATGAGTATATCACAGAAGTACTGCACAAGATGAGGGCAAAGTCCCCTTTTAGTGTTCTTCTCTACTTCCCCCTTTACAAAATCAACCCATAAATATACATAAAATGGCTGTCAGTTCAGTTTTGTGGTTCTAATTTAAGAGAAAAGAAGCATCGTTTTACAAGGTTCCCCTCCTCACCTATATGGAGCACCCCCCACCTTCCTCTCTTTCTTTCAGAATCCCTTCGGTTAACAGTTCACCGTGTAGGTCTCCCATTTTCATAGAAAAGCAAGGACTCACAATTCTTGGACTATTTTAAACCACAGCAAGAAATGCCAAGGTGGAAAGCTAAAGAATACTTTTCAGAGGCAAAAAGAATGCAAGATAATGCATCAAAAGGAGACAGAAGAAGCTCTTAAATCACCAATTGTCTTCTAGAGCTCTAAGTATGGAGAAAAAAGGGAGCGCATTCGCTTTGATGGTGGACTTCACTACCACGCTATTAAGCACATCAGCGTCCTAATTGCATGCACAGTGCCACTTAGCAGCGCTTCCCTGAGAGCGCCCTGCGACCACTTCTCCTCATTGATCCTGTCAGCAAAGGTACCAAACCGCATATTTAAGCCACTGAAATAGTTGTGCACGATGGATTACAAAGAACTCAGCGAAGGCATCCGCATCCGCAATCTCAGAACACCTCCGAATACCTTGAGTTTAAAGAGGACATTCCTACCGCTTACCCGGAATCAGCTAAAAGTAACCCAGGGACCAACGCCAAAGCCTCCCTTACCTCGGGCTCCGCGTCTGTTTGCCACGGTATGCAATACTAACCCTACTGAATTAGCAAGATTTGGAATGAACTACCATCTCGCTAACATCTCCATCTTTGGAGTTGCTTATTACATTTGCAATATCCCCTCCCTCAGGAATGGGACTCTGGGGTTCATCAAGAGGCAAAATAGAGAGGTGGAAGGGAGAAAAGCAAGTGACATAGCTCAGTGGTCTAATACCGGAGATTTCATCTCCCTTAGGAATCAATCCAACCCCCTCCCCCTTTTCTTTCTTTTTGTCCCCTTGAATGCTTCCTTCGACTTCCTACTTCTGTTCCACAGCAACACTCTTAAAGGGAGGACATAAATGGAGTGAGTGTGAGTGCGTGTTGCCTCGGTTAGCCAAGCGGCGGGGTTTGGCGGGGGCGGCGGCGGCGGCGGAATGGGGGGGGGCGGTGTAGGCATTTGATAGAAACGTTGGGCTCTGGGAACCGATGCCTTTTCTCTAGTCAACATTGCTTTTGCCTCACCACTTAAGTCTGGTGTCGACTCCTAACCAAACTAAGCCAAGATGTTTCTGACGCACAGGTTCAAGCTTAGAGACCTCTCTCTCTTGATCTCCAAGTGGACTCCAGTCCGCGATATTAAAAGCGCCTGCATTCACACGCACATGTGCAAGTGTGCCTGTGAATCATTCACGTTTGGCCACCCAGACGTGTCGAGACGAATCGGGATCACAGTGTTAAAAAATCGCTAGTATTCCCGACCTCCCATCACAATGGCAAACGTCTCCCAGCTTAAAGCACCCCCATGAAAGCAAAACGTTTACCTTGAAATTTCGGTTCTCCGCTGGATCAAATCTGCACATCCATTCAGCTGGGTTGTGTCCCCTCCCCCTCCCTCCCTCCGCTTCCCCGCCCCCATTCACCTCCTTCCCGATCAGAAAGCCCATAGCAAATTGTGTCCAGCCAGTATTAAACTCGAGCGTTTACAACTTTAATTCAGTTCTGGTTAGCAAGGGTCGAAGAGCTTCCTCTCGCTCCACTCCCTTTCCTCTCCCCATTGCCATCAAAGGAGACAGAAAATTTGAGAAAATAAAGTTGAATGAGCCGGGGAAGGCTGACATTCCGACTGGGAAACGCACCATCGCTGTAATTTCCCGGGTGCGCGGCACATCCTCCGATGATCAAAAATTTTTTGGAAGGCGGGGGCGAGGGTACCGTATTTGTTCTCTCCCAAAGAATTTAGATGCTGGATCACCGCCTAGCACATCCCTGCATTAAGCAGCATGGAGCCGCTCGGGCTGGAGCCCAGCACCCAGGCCGGACCCGAGGCTCCGGGCACAGCTGCTGGAACCGTCGCCCAGGCAGAAGCACCGGGAGTTCCAGGACGCGAGGCTCCCCCTCCCCCACCCCGCCCCAAAGCGAAGGAAGGGTAAAGGGAGGAAAAAGGGGAGGGAGTAGAAGGAAAGAAAGCCATCCCGCTGTACACACACACACACACACACACACACACACACACACACACACACACACACACACACACACACACACTCACACACAGACGCAAGCCTCTTTTGCAAAGTAAAAGACAGACTTACCCCGTCTCACATCTCCAGGGCCCACTCATCATAGCTACCCTGAACAAAATACCTCTTTGGGGTGTGCACTGTTTTGCTAAAGCCCAGGCAGCAAGAGAAGGCAGCTTTCAGTGCAGTCCGAGCCGCTGGAGGAAAGAGGTGGCCGGACGCCGGCAGCCCCGGGCCGCCGCCGCGGTGGCGACCGCGGGTTCCGGGGTTCCCCAAAAGGCTCTCCCCCGCGCTCTCCGCGGCAGTCGGAACGGGCAGCGGGGTTGGGGGGGGATAATGGGGGAAAATCTCGATCGGTGGGATGGGAAGAGCGGGGGAGGGGGCGGCGAAGGACGGGCTGGAGAGGCGCCTCGCGGTAGGGGCTGGGAGCAGGAGCCGGGCGGGGCGGGGAGGGGAGCTGTTGGGAGGGGAGGCGCGGAGAAGGAGGAGGGGGACGCAGAGAAGGCTGCTTTGCACTGCTGGCCCCGCCAACGTGACGGTCAGCCTCGCCGAGCGCTCGCACTAGCTCACACTCACTCTCACTCTCACACTCATTCCCACCCGCGCTACAGCGCGATCGCGGGGTCCCAGGCACCCTTCGCCGCACTCCCCCCCAGGTGGGTACTTACAGTTCCCATCTGCATAGGGGGCAACTTTCTCCGACCCAGCAGTGGCCGCCGCCCCCTCCAGCTACCGCTGGCTCCTCGCACCCTCCGGCCTGGGTTCGCGCCGGCCGGCCCTCCCCTCCCCCCTCGGTTCTCTCCTCGCGGTCTTCACCACATTTCCCCCTGGTCAGTGGCGCCCGCCCGGGGAAGAGCCAGAGAGAGAGGGGCTCGAGGGTGTGCATGCATAGCCCGCCTTCTTCTTGCAGCGCACACTGTACATGGTAGTGAGGGGGCGAAAGAAGGTGGTACTGGCCCCTCGGTTGGTCTGGCAGCTGGAGCGGCGGCTGCGGCTCCAAAGCCGTCCTCCGCCCCCCGCGCAGCGACCACCGAGCTGGGATCCCGCCGCCCGCTGTCCCCGAGCCGATCTCGCCGCCGCCGCGGCCCCTAATTAGTATTTGAACGGCTCCCGCATCCTCTTGGCTGTTTCTTCGCTCCCGGTATTTGCAGGGTTTTTTCTCTATCTCTTCCCCAGATGCGGCGCACGATCGTCATTATTTGGAACTCTTTATCTCCGACATCCTTTGGGGGTCTGAGGGGCAGGAACAGCGTTGTTTTACGCCTGTGGCGTGTCCTGGCAGCCTGGCGGTTCTAAAAAACTCAGAGAAAGTCGCGTCTTCTGTTCTGGGCGTTGAGGAGGTGGCAACGCGGTAAGCATCGTCCGGATCTCTGAGACATCTGCTCCGTAGCGGGTGCAGGGCCCCGTCCGGTGCACTTGTTTATTGTCGCGCCGCTGGTGCGAGCCAAGCTGCAGCAGACATGATGGGCCCGGGGCGAAGCGAGCGCTAAGTGACCGATAGATGGCAGCCGAGGGCGAAGGCGTCCCTCGGCTCCCGCGGCGCAGCCGGAGCACCCCTTGGATGTCACATTCGTGGGAGACCGCGGAGTCTTGGACCATGTGCGTAATAGGAGCGTGGGAGTGTGTGCAATTCTAGTATAGGAAAAGGGAGGAGTGGGAATAACCCTGACAGTGCTAAGCTTGGTGGTGGTCAGGGACAGATGATTCCAGCCCTGCGATGTTCGCCTGCCTTCCTCTGCCATTTAGAATAATAGAGCCCACGCTGCTGTCTCATGTACATACTGTAAAAAAACCCTGGAAGAGGGAGTGGCTTATTCTAACTGTAAAGAGGGCGCTCCTTTCCCCCCTCCTCTCTTATTTTGCTTTTTTTAAGACTTATGTTTTATAAGTATGTCTGGGCAGATCAAGGAAATGTGAAGGACTTTCAGAGAGAATGTGAATACATTTCGTGTGAACTATAAAGCTGGAAAACCCCTAAAATAGATGAAGTATCGATAGCGAGTTTCTTGAAGCGTCACCTGCTAAACTCCACTAGCGACATCTCTACAGTAAGTATCCCTGGCTCTTTCCATGAAATCAGTTACCTCCCTCTCCAAAAGGAGGTTTTGTACCTTCATAAGATGTTTTCCGTGTTTGCAGTATTAGGCCTGCAACCCATCCCAGGAATAAAAGAAAAGTTGATCTTAGTAAGTGGCCCAGTGCAGGCTGAGAGCACATGTGCATGTTCTTTGATAATTGAGTAGTTTTATCACGTAAAGATATTCTGTACATTTTATTTTGGAATTATGTCTTAAAACATAACTAATCCCTGATTCTTAGTAATATTTGGGATAATAATAATTAATCAAATTAACCATTTGATTAATATTAATGAAGCACTCAGTGGAAACATAACGTCTTTCCACATCACTTATATATGTTGAATTAGAAGTATTTGTCTAGAGGAGGCAAATATTGCAATCTCCTGAGATTTTGTAACATTTTAAAAACTTCCTCTGAATCTGTTGTGAAAATATTTTAAAACTAAGGCATAAATTCTTCATTTACAATATTGTTTCTTTTGAGTTAAGTTTGGATCTTGTCCAAACAAGAGGGAGAAAAGAAGTAATCTTTTGGAAATATATTCTAGGGCATCCTGTTAAATTTAGAAACATTTGGTCTAGGACTGACAGCCACTGCTATATAGGTACCTTATGTAAACAGATAACTTAAACTTTATTCACAAAAGGCTATTAATTTATTTTTATCTATTTATTATCTTCTAAATATTTTGGAAAATATTTTAAATATAATATTTCAAAGAGAAAACATAATATATCATTTTAAAATTAAATGTTAATCACAGAAACCTTTGGCATAGGAATATTGAGTCCTATTAAAAAGTTCTTTTTAATAGCTTTTAATGTTGATTAACTCTGTGGAAATTATAAAATATCCTGAAATGTGTTCACTACTAGGATTCCCAAAATAGCTGAGATAAAGCTACTTTAATTATTTTGCTACTTTTCAAAATTCTCACAATTCCATTCAGTACAATTAATTTATAAAATCTGCTTTTTAAAATTTTGTATTATTTTTAAAGGTTTATTGTCCTGATTAAAACAAAATTTGTTAAAATAACAAATATTAAGCACGTTTGGAATTAACATAGCTTGTAGTTTTGTTAGAAACACTTGCACTAACATTCCAGATTGCCTCTTGTGGTTCAAATTAATAAATGATGAAAACTTTCTATCATCAAGTCAACATTAAGGACTGCCATAGATGCCACCATTACCTTTTACCACTAGGTGTCTCTATAAACTGCACTGCAGGAGAGTGAATTTTGAAAAAAATACCTTAATGTGAAGAGACTAGAATAGAATATAGGAGGGAAAACATCAAAGAAATAAGGAGAATCCTCTATTTTTAGGCCTTAGAGTTCTATTTGCTTTTGTTGATTATTTTTAGAAAAGATATTAGTGAATCATGTAATAATGATAAAATTTAAGCCAAGATTTTTACTCACATGAAAAAACATGTTTGAATCTGTACTAGGCAACATATACTTATATGATGTACATTCATGCTTTCCCAGGATGTATAAGTAAACAAAAATAATTACATACAAGAATTTGGGCACTAGAATCTAAAATTATTGATCAAATGGGAATTTCCAGAACTAAGGTTATTAATACTAAATTAAACATGATTTGATTGAGTTAGATGTATAAAATAGAGAATGTTCGAATGTTTGTGAATGGGTTTTGGCATTTTATGATTAGCTCATGAGCTAGTACCATAATAAATATATATTAAATATTAAAACATATTTGGCAGTATTTAGTTCAAATTATAGCAATGATGATACCTGTATATTAAAATTTCAATTTAAACTGTAGTTAGCATATTGTCACTTAAATGGATTATATATTTTATGAATTCATACTTATTATTATCTAGAATTCTTGTCTTAGTGCTTTATAAATTCTTAAAGAAATTCTTATGTTAAAGACATTACTTAAAGTATTTTATTACATTTTATTTGTGAATTGTTCTGTAGTATTTTTAGGATGTTACAATGAGACAAGAATTGTGATCCCTCATGAAACAACCTAATGTGAATTATAAACAAGAAAAAAATTGGGGGGGTACAACTGTAAGCCTTCACATCATTATTGAAACCTCATGCCCGCAGAGCTTCCATTTCTTTTTGTTATCTTAAATGGTGAATTATGATTATGGAATTCTAATGTTGAATTTCAGTCTTCTCCTAAACTGGATCTAAGAAATACTTTTGTGACAGTAATAAATAAGAAGTCAGTAAACTCCAAGTTAAAAAATGAACTTTTTGGGAATCTAAATTAAAAGTTAAATAATTGTACATTACATCTTTGAAATTAAAGTTATATAAATTATACAGCTCTAAAATAAGGAAATAAAAGTTTCTACTGGAAGGAGGAAAATTGGTCACCCTTCATGATTGTTTATTACAATACTAAAACAAATAATAAATAATTGCAAGGCATATGCCTTTGAGTAGTCTGAAACATGGAATTAACAACAATCAAATATAACATGTAGTGATATTTATAAATCCAAATGGTGAGCATAACTGACTAATATAAAAGATTATTTATTCACTTTTAGACTTAAATAACTTAAGTATTTTTAATCTTAGAAATATGTTCTAAGAGGCATAACAGAAGGATATACATGAAATAGTTTTCTTCCTCACTTCATAGCATTCCTTGTAATAAACATTTTTGTTACAATTGTGCTAACCTATCTTCATTGGAGAACCAACTGTAAATATCTACTAAATTTAAAATTTATGTCTCTTTTGAGCAATTACTTTTTCAAGAAGTAGCTTAGAGATGTGCTAAATTAAAATATACAAAGCAGTATGTAGGAAGAAAATCACTGCAACAGATGCTTACATTTAAAAGTTATTAAGAAGAAGATATAAATGTCTGACTAAAGGAAAAGTAACACACATCTATCTACAATTTGGAATTTTATTGTATTAGAAGCAACAGTGTGTACAGGAATACTGTCCTGCCATCATTAATAGTGTATATAGTATATAGCATCACCATATACAGTGCAGAGACAGAGAGCGAGAGAGCGAGAGAGCGAGCGAGAGAGCGAGAGAGAGAGAGAGAGAGAGAGAGAGAGAGAGAGAGAGAGAGAGAGAGAGGAAACTCAGGCGGAGAGGGGAGACCAACAGCCTTTCATACACAAATTCAGTAGTGGTGATCACATCTCAGAAAGACTGGAAATCTCAAGTAGATTTCTCCATCTACTGTAGTTTTACTGGTTGAAA